CCCCCCCCCCCCCCCCGGCCGTGAACTGAGAAATGATATTTAAGAAAATTATATCCTCAAAATATTTTTAAACACATTAAATCTCCTGATCAAATCTTTATATCCCAATAATATCCTGATCAAATCTTTATATCCCAATAATATCCGAGGCGTAAGGGTTGCTAGGCGCACACGATGGTTCTAATGTTAAGTGACAACTACATTTTGGAACTAGGATCTCTTCCGCTGCTCTCCAATTAAGTGTAGAATGTTGCAAAGCTAAATTCAGATATGTGATAAAATGCATTCTTGTGCTTTGAATTTATCAACAATTTCTTGGGGACTATAAATATTTAAAGGGGTGAGAATAATCTAGGACAAAATCGTTCCCTCAAGGGTGACACACCTGGCATGAATTTTGTTAACGTCCCACTGGTGCGCAATTTAAGATGTCTTTGATTATTATTATGGCTAATTTTGGCACTGGCCACCCTGAAAGTTTGTCAAAATTGTCTGAACGAAACAACACATTCAAGTATGCGCGAAAATGCACCATTGCATTTCGAGTTTGCCCGACTGTCGTTAGCACCCTTAATTTCTGCACCCCTTACCTCAAGCTGATCATTGTAACCCTATGAGGTTGATTATAAGGTTGTGCAGCATGATTACAACGGGGCACATCACAAACGAAGTGTATTCAGTTTATGTATGGCAGTGGGCGCCATAATGCCTCCCACAAAACCTTAAAGAAATGTCCCTCCCCGTTCAAAAAGTATAATAGAAAGATTGAATTCAAGTATACTAAAAAAAATACACCTCTTGATTTTAAAATAATAAAACAAAATTGCCCCCATCCGCCCTATGTCATAGCCACTAGCAGGGGCGTATTTAGAGTGTTTTGCGTCAGGGAATAAGGTTCATTCTTACGCCCCCCCCCATAACTCTGCAACCCATTATGTTCGACCATTAAATACCATCAAAGCCCATAAAGCCCATTTAGCCCTCACCGCTAGTCTGGCGCCCCGGGACGTGTCTCCCTTATACCACCCCTTAGCTTCTCCTCTGGTCACTGGCGACTGGTACTGCCCCCCGCCCCCGAAAATCTGAAATGCCCCCCGCCCCCGAAAATCTGAAATGCCCCCCCTCCACCGACCCCTGGAGGGAAAACAATTTCCGAAAGAAACACTGTAAAAGGACTGGCTTGCCCAACATACGGCCCGCCAGCACAAATTTTGTGGCCCGCAAATTAACGAAATGTTACTGATTTTTATTATTTTTTAAATAGCTTTCCCGGTGTCCTATTTTTCTTTTGGCCCGCACAAGTCCTGTCCTATCTTATTTTGGCCCGCAACATTTTTTCAATAAGTGTTACGGCCCGCCTTTCCATTTCGAGTTGTGCAG